GTAAAGAATTCATGATATGGTAACATCACTTCCCTTATAATTACGATCTTATTCTCTATTTTCAGTTAGACATGCATTTCGTGTGTAGCCACTTATTGATTGACACTATGAATTTGATCATATCTTATTCTTGACTATGAATGTTGTTTCCTAGAGAAAATAAAGTGTGTTCTTTCTGTGTGATGTATCATAATATGTTAAAGACAGAGGTAGTCATGTCAATAATTCAACCTATAGTTTTTAGGAAGAAAGTTTGATATATGTGCAAACCACTGATTCATAAAGTCCAATGTATTTTCCCTATTTTCCGTTTGAATCATGTTTTGAAATAGCTAGTTGTTTTTTTAAATGCCCTCACCACCTTCCTTTACATACTCTTCTGATCGTACATGTACTTAGTTATATTTCTTACTCTAAAATTATCAACAATTGATAAAAGTTAAATAAAATGTTAGTGGGTTTGATTTTATCATAAAAATGTGTTGTCACTATTTAATATCGAGTTGCTTATTCTCTTCAATACTGGTTGGCTTGGTTATTGGTATATGATTAACGCATCACTTAGATGCATATCAAATAGAAAATCAGTACAATGCAAAAACAGAAATTTTTCTTACATTGTTTCTCTGGGGTATGAGTACGGGTGTAGGTTCACACTAAATTAAATTTACTTTTTACCTACCTTTTACTTAGTTTAATATGCATACCTTACTCTCAAATTTGCATGAAGCAGGTTATTTTCGAGAATTGTACCAACTATCACCAGCTCCAACTCTACTGTTACGAAATTCGAGATAATAACTATAAATGAGCTCCACCAATTCTTCTAGAATAAAACTCCGCACGTAACATGCCTTTCCAATTGTACAAAAAGACATTAGATTTGGATCGCTATTAAACAAATTTTTATCAAATATTATTTTATTACTATTGCTACGTTAAACAGATCGCCGGCTTCTATTGCTTCGCTACAGTTATCGACGTACTTGGCCAATATGGATGGAACTACATCTCATGTAGTAGCTGCAACACAAAGCTTGGAAAGACTGAAATGTCATTGTACTGCACAACTTGCTAAAATACCATCAACATCGACCTACTCAGTTTTTCCCTCACCAAACAATGATAACCACCTCGCTCTTTCACGTCAACTACCATTAATCACTTCACAATTATAAACTTATTTTTTTACAATATTTATGCACTGTTTTGAGGTGTCAATCCGTGATAAAAACATAGATGTTGCAACCTTCGCTGTCTTTAACGGTGATGGTATCAAACTTGTTGCAAGAAGACCTGCTAAGTTTCTAAATGAGTGCCACGGGGTATAATTCGGCAAGACGATTACTCTCCATGTTTAATATCCATGACATCTGAGAACTTTCGATAATGAATGTGAAAGCATAACCACTCTGTTGGTTTTCCTCTTAGTGGGGAAACTAATTTGGGTTTGGTTTAAGAAAAACCAAATTTGGGCCTATTATGATCCATGAGATTGTTATTGGGCTAAGGGTTATGAGGGAGTATATATGACTCCAAACCTAATTTTGATGAAGGAGAAACTAATTGAAGAGAGGCAATTTTCGTAGGCTAAGAAGGAGAAAAACAGTTTCGTCAGAGTTTGTTCAAGAGAACGTTTGGCGGCTTAAACGTGCTCCGATTTGGCTGAAATTTTTGGGTTAGCTTCGGACTCAGTGATCTTGATATTCAACGGTGGAGATTGTATTTCAACGGTTGGTTCGTCGCAGATCTGGGTTTTAGCGAGGATGTTCGCTGCTGTTGCGAGTTCAGATTTCAAACTGTATTGTCTTGAATGTTTGGGAAATCCGACGGTGAATTCTTCTTGGATTGAGCTGAAATTTGGCAGAGATATTTCTGACTTGTTTATCTAGGATTTGTACGGTGGAGATCTGATTTGGTGACCTGAATCCTAGTGAATTTAGGGTCGTTTGGGACTGCTTGTTTCTAGGCTCTTGTATTGCTCTCTTGTGGTGTTTCTTGTGTTAGAGATCGCTCTTTGGAGTCTTAGTCTCTGGATCTGTTCTTTGGGAACATAGAGAACATGGTTGTAACTCAAATTTGATATTGTGGATTTTTTAGTGGACTACGGTTCCGTGGTTTTTACTTCTCACATCGAGGAGGTTTTCCACGTAAAATAATTCGTTGTCTCATTTACTTTACCGCTTTGATTTGCTGCTGTCGTATTCTATATTTTTCTCACAGGTTCACATAAGTGTGGAGAAATTTATTCCGCTGCGCCATTGGTGCTTATTGTTTTTCCCCAACAGAGTGGTATCAGAGCTTTCTGGTTTGATAACTTTGGTTATTGGTTGTTTGCTTTTGTGAGCGATGGAAAATATGGGCAGGATGATCAGCATGGATGGTTCTAATTATCATATTTGGAAATGCAAGATGGAAGATCTCTTTTATGTGAAGGAGCTTAATGTTCCAGTCTTCGAGGAGAAGAAACCTGAGGATAAAACTGAAGATCAGTGGAAGTTGCTACATCGCCAAGTGTGTGGTTTGATAAGGCAATGGGTAGATGATAATGTGAGGAATCATATTGAAAATGAGACTGATGCTCGTTCTTTGTGGAAGAAGCTGGAACAGTTGTTTGTTCGGAAGACCGGAAATAATAAGATGTACATGATCAAGAAATTGATTGAGCTGAGGTACCAGGAGCGAACTCCGATGGCGGATCACTTGAATGCATTTCAAGGATTGCTCAATAAATTATCTGACATGGGACTTTAAGTTTGAGGATGAGATTCACGGTTTGTGGCTTCTTGGTACATTACCAGATTCTTGGGAGGTGTTCACGATGTCTCTTTGTAACTCCGCGTCGAATGGTGTGATTTCGATGAACTTAGTGAAGAACAGTGTCTTGAATGAGGAAGTAAGGAGGAAGTCTAGTCCTAGTTTCTCGCGTTCAGATGTAATGGTTTCTGAGTCAAGGGGGAGGAGTTCATATAGAGAGCCCATGAATAACAAGAACAGGAGCAAGAGCAAATCTAACAAATTTGCTAACTTGGAGTGCCATTATTGTCATAAGAAAGGGCACATGAAGAAGGATTACTGGAAGTTGAAAAAGGACAACAAACTTGGAAAGAAGCAAGAAGATGGTGAAGATCGGATGACTGTCGCCGAAGATCAGTTTCTTATTCTTCTTGAGAGTGATGCCATTAATGTTGCATGCCAGGACACCATTTGGGTTGTTGATAGTGGAGCTACTACTCATGCTACATCGCAGCGGGATTTGTTCGCTACCTATACTCCAGGTAGTTATGGTTCTGTGAAGATGGGTAATGATGCAGTGGCCAAGGTTGCTGGCATTGCTGATATTTGCTTGGAGACTAGTGTTGGTACTAGAATTTTGCTTAAGGGAGTTAAGCATGTCCCATATATTCGGTTGAACTTGATCTCTACAGGGAAACTTGATGATGAGGGTTTCTATAGTCTATTTGGAGGAGGTAAATGGAAACTCACAAGGGGTTCTATGATTATGGCTCAAGGTGATAAGCATTCGTCTTTCTATTAGATGCAGGCGAAGGTCTCCAAAGACATTGTTAATGTTGTGGAGAATGATGATGCCATAGAGTTGTGGCATAAGAGACTCGGTCATATGAGTGAGAAGGGATTGTCTGTGTTGTCAAAGAAGAAGGCTATTACAGGTATCTCCGGTTTACACTTGCAGAAGTGTGCGCATTATTTTGCAGGAAAATAACACAGGATCTCCTTCAAGTCTTCTGCTCCTTCCAGGAAACCC